CACCAGGTTCCACTCTTCCTCTTTTGGGACAAACCACCACTCAAGGCACCACCCTACTCTCTACGCAGCCAACATCACAGGGAAGCACCACCACTCTTGTACCCCCAGTTTCCACTACCGTATCAGTCACCTCCACTGCTTCTCCTCCAACTCCAGGCACAGCAACAGGCGCAGGTGGTACAGCACCACAGCAAACAGGCACAATCCCACCTGTGACAGGCACGCGTCCACAACCTTCACCAGGCTCTACTCTTCCTTCTTCAGGACAAACAACCACTGAAGGCACCACACTAATCTCTACGCAGGCAGCAGCACAGCGAAGCACCACCATGCTTGTGCCCCCAGTTTCCACTACTGTATCAGTCACCTCCACTGCTTCTCCTCCAACTCCAGGCACAGCAACAGGCTCAGGTGGTACAGCACCACAGCAAACAGGCACAATCCCACCTGTGACAGGCACTCGTCCACAACCTTCACCAGGATCCACCTTTCCTTCTTCGGGACGAACAACCACTGAAGGCACCACACAACTCTCTACGCAGGCAGCATCACAGCGAAGCACCACCATGCTTGTGCCCCCAGTTTCCACTACCATATCAGTCACCTCCACTGCATCTGCTCCAACTCCAGGCACACGTCCACAACCTTTACCAGGCTCCACTCTTCCTCCTTCCGGACGAACAACAACTGAAGGCACCACACTACTCTCTACGCAGGCAGCATCACAGCGAAGCACCACCATGCTTGTGCCCCCAGTTTCCACTACTGTATCAGTCACCTCCACTGCTTCTCCTCCAACTCCAGGCACAGCAACAGGCTCAGCTGGTACAGCACCACTGCAAACAGGCACAATCCCTCCAGTGCCAGGCATGCGTCCACAACCTTCACCAGGTTCCACTCTTCCTCTTTCGGGACAAACAACCACTCAAGGCACCACACTACTGTCTAAGAAGCCAACATCACAGGGAAGCACCACCACGCTTGTACCCCCAGTTTCCACTACGGTTTCAATCACCTCCACTGCTTCTCCTCCAACTCCAGGCACAGCAACAGGCGCAGGTGGTACAGCACCAC